GTTTGTTATAGTTATCCTAGGTTGGGAGATCAACAGAACTGATTTAAATCATGAACTAAAACTGTTTTCAGGATTGTGATTTTGGAAGGGTTCTGTAGCGTTGAATCTTTCTCAGGAAAAGTACATAACATTTATTGCCTCTCCTCATGCAGCCCTTCAGTCTCTAGTAAGGAGATCCCTGACTGCTTACCCATATTCTGATATTTGTCACAGTGTTCTGAAAAAACGGTTCCTCAGTTGCACTGTTTTCTGAACCTTCAGTCCGTTTGGATGTGGGTACAAGAGTCAGCACAAAGTCTGGCCCTTGGCTAATGAAACAGTCTCTGAGAACCATATAAAATGCTGTTACTGATCACAGTTCTGAGTCGTATCTGTTGCATGCTTTATAACAGTTACAAGAGATGCATTTATATATCCTCTTTGGCTTTCTCATGGCTGCTTCATTTGGATCTGTTAAGATGCCTCTATAAATAGATGGGAATTTTTCCCATCCTGTAGTATCTGGAGTCTAATACAGCAGGTTAAATATGATTTCTATTTAAAATAATGTATTCTGCAGTTAAACACATCTGCAAAAGAATCACACCTCTTTTAAAAATGGTTGCTTTGTTTCACAGTGAAATTCTGGAGATGTATTAATGGTATTTGATAAGAAAAAAATAGTGTAGCTTGTGGTCTACTTGCTTGTGTTTTAGCAGGCAATGTGATTTGTTTAAATTTCCAGTGATAAGTTCTGTTGATTGACAAGTTTTATTCAATATTTTGTGGCCTGTCAGGTGTAGTGGTGTTAGTCTGTTTAATTTTTCCAAATAAGGCTCTGTAGAACCCTAAACTGATCCTTTTTTATTTTTGTTTTTTATTTTAAAAAGCAGAAATAGAGTATCTCATCCACACGGGTGACCTTCCATTTCCATTTATGGTGAGAACACCCCTCGGGATGGATAGAAATTTGGACTTTCCTTCCTTGCCAGTGTCTGATTAATGAGAAAACTGATCAGCTTGTTGTCTGGGTCACAGTTAACAGCTTTGGCCATACCAGCAGGAGACCCTTGTGGAACTGGATATTGCCTTCTGGGGAAAATATATAGTGAGTGTGAAACAACTGCATATGGTATAATACTCCCAGAAGCTTGGCTTGTTCTAATCTCAGCATCACCATTTCATGGTGTGAACACCCATTAAAGAATTTTTATTTTTTCTTAAATGAATTGTTTTTCTAATACCTTTTCATGTAGTATTATATAATGCTTTGCCAACAGATGGACTCCAGCTTTGACTTTCTTGTATGTATACTTCTCATTGCTATAATTGTCTTTTGAATCCCTTGGTTATACAGGGTGACAACGTGAATGCTTTTTTTCTTTCAGTGGTAGTTCAGTTTATAATTTATATGCTGATGATGATGATGAGACAGAGGCATCTCCTTCTGGCCAACAGATTATTGAGAACTCAATTACTATGAATAAAATGAAGCTGCTCAAGGCAAAAATGGAGAATATGAATCTAAGTAAAAAGGTAAAACTATGAGCCCAATACCTGCATGATCAAAAACTCATCCCTTGGTTATAGGATAAACTATTCCAAAGTGTCAAATGACATTTATTCAGCAAGTAATTAATTAGCTTTATATGTTTCCTAGCTATATGAGAATGGATTGCCTTGTGGTTAAGACACTAGGCTGTGACTCAGGACACCTTAGTTCAATTCTGACTTCTACAACAGCCCCCCTTTCCCTTCCCCTCCCTCCCTCCCTCCCCCAGGACTTTAGGGAAATCACTTAATCTCCTTGCTTAATTCTGCAAACATAAAATGGGATTATTGTATTTCTCCCACACGTTATCTTGTCTGGTTAGACTGTAAACTCTTCTAGGGGTAAAAAATACCTTGTTGCAATCTGGGGATCTCAATTCATTCCTGGCATTGTGTGGCTGTTGTTTGTATTTGTTTTCTCCTGCTTTCTATCTGAGGCACAAAGTGTATTTTCTCAGGGACTGAAATGCTTACATTTCTCATCCAAGGTCAGTGGTTCTCATCCCTTTAAGATTCAAAGCACCTCTTCATAGATTTTGTGAATTGAGTGGAACCCCATTTCAAGACTATTTATTATAGTGCTTACCTGCTTGAAGAGGGCCTGGTAAGGAGGAGGAGCAGATTCAGAGAAGAGCCTGCACTGGAGTGAATGAGGGGAGGAGTAGCTGGAAGGGCTGAGCCTGCACATATCTCCTCAGGGACCCTGCATTTGTCTTGCTTATTTCCCATCTCTCCTGGCACGCTTCAAAGGCTGCCATTGCACCCTGGTTGAGAATCACTGTCCTAGGTGGTAATGTAGAGATATATGGCTGTGGTAGATTGAAGGTCAAATGGTCCTTTCTGGAGCTGAGCTTTATGAAGCAGTGAACACTCAATTTCATTTGAGGTCTCTAATTGTTACCATAATACAAATGAAAATAAATATCTTTTCCTTTTAAATAGCCTAAGAAGACTGTCAAGGTGAAACCTCGTCCACCAATGACTCCTCGACCATCTAGTGGTTCAGTGGCATCTGCTCGTCACAGGTTTTTAAGAGTACTCCCCCACATTGGACAGTCCTGCCTACCTCCTCCTGGGAATTCATATCCCTTGGAGTCTTCCCAAAATGCACTTTCAGCTTTGGCTACCTTGGCCACTACTGGTAGAACAATGCCATCCATCACTAGTGACTTTCTTAAGGAGAATGACAACTGGGAGAGCACCTCCCGGTCTCAGTCAGTTAGTAGCATTAGACTACCACCAAAAATATCCCGTGTTGAACTAGAAAATGCAAAGCTACCTATACATAATATTCTTGCTCCCATCCCATCTCGGCCTACAGATTCAGAAAAGAGTTCAGAAAATACGACATCTACAAATGAGGAAGATCCAGTCTTGTACCCACATCTAACAAATGTAGAACTGTGTGCAACAGAAGAAAAGCTTCTACCTGAAACAGATACTTTTGCTTTGTTAGCTGAAGCAAACAGTACTGAACAGTATGATGAATTATGTGGAGTAAGAAAAGTAAACCCAGAACTTGGACTGTCTGATGGGGATGAGGAATCTAAGGCTATAGAGCAGCATAGCAAACCCATTACAAAAATCCTGAGCTCTACAACAGTGGAGGCGGGACTTCTTAACACTCGTGAATTAAATCCTCAGAAGAAGACACACTTATCACCTCTTCAATATTCAGCACAAATGGCACATCATAGTCCTCTGAAACCACAGACACAACCCAAATGCTTTCAGGTCGGTAACTTGAGATGTGCCGACTCCTCAAATGTGCTCCGATCTTTGGAGGTCCGCAGCATAGCGGATTCCTCTTTTTCTAGGACTACTAGATTTCGTAGTGTGGAAGTAGACTCACCTGGCAAAAGACCTGATGTAATTTCTAAAATGGAGGCTAGGGACATCATAGAAGTGGTTAACAAGACATCCAAAGAACCTGTGGGTTCTGTAAGTAACTTAGGATTTCTAACTTTGCTGTCCCGAAGCACAAGCAGGGAAAGTTTACAGAATTCCTGTGGGACAGGCAGGTTTCGGACTTCTGGTATTGCACTACCTACAAACATCCAGCGTTTTCAGGAAGAAAGCTTTAGGAAAACCTCTCCCCCAAATGAAGCTGCTGAATACTTTCTAGTGAGTACTAACACCTTCTGAACAATTGGGATTTTCTGATCTTCTCTAGTACAGACTACCAAAAATCTGTGCTTTTCTAGCAGGGGACTATAAATCCTTTCTCACTGTTCCACCCATAGGTCAAAGCAGACAGTTTTGGTTTGTTTTGTTTGTTTTCCTATTGGTACCTTGCATGGCATGTGTAGCTAATAGGTTTCTAGAGGCAGCTTTCCAAAATATTAAACTAATTGTTAAGTATATCTGGTTCAGTATGTAAACTCCTTTACTACTTGTAACAGTGTGTGTTTGAAACGTTGTCTAGCTCCTCCTGCCATTCTTTAGTTATGAGTTATTTTAAAGGCCACCCTGTAACAGGCAGCATATGTGTCTAACAACAAACTTTCAGTATACTGTACCATACTTCCAATATGCTGTATTATGAAAATATAATGTGTAAGATGTAAAAACTATTAAATAGGTTTTTGTTTCATAATAATTTGTATTTCAAGTACAAATACCTTACTTCTTTCTTCATAAGTTTGTTGACTAATACAATATCAGTTGTAGATAAATTGGTATAAAATTATATAAATGTTTACGTATCTTCCATCTGGCAGTAATTTTTCTCTAAAACTTACTTTTTTTTTAGTCTGCTCATGGGCTTGGGATGAATGGAAATGTTGCAACAGTAGGGAAACGAGTAGGTAAGTAACATGTTTTTGTTTGTTTGGTTTTTTTTGAATTTACTCTTAAATCCTTCTCAGTCATTAAACACTCAAAGGGTAAGAATTTATACCTTTAAAACTATATTCACTGCAATGTGTTTTATAGAATAGCATTCATCCTGACTGGTTTGATTAGTACTCTTAGATGAGTATTTCTTTTCATCTTGGTCTTAAGCAGATGATCTTATTTATTGAACATACATGACAGTGCCATGCATCATCCACATAAACAGACATAAGAACATAAAAAGTGCTATACTGGGTCAGACTGATGGCCCATCTAGCCCCAAGGACCCTGTCTCCGACAGCAGCGAAAATGGGTGCTATAGAGGGACAGCATCAACCTGGAGATCTAGAATTGATCTGTCCCCTATTGAGTACTCTGCCTGGCATCTACCATTATTGGTTTATTTGCTCCAGATCTCCAACCATTCTCTGCAATAACCACTGGTAGATTTGTCATCCATGGATTTATCCAGTTCCTTTTTAAAACTGGCTATGCTGTCTGCCTCCACCAGCTCCTATGGCAATGAATTCCACAAGTTAACTATGTGTTGCTTAAAAAAAAAACTTTCTATTGTTACCTTTGAATCTGTCACCTACTAATTTCAATAGGTGTCCCTTAATTTTAGTATTCTGGGATTTGGTGAACAACAGTTTCCTGGTCATTTGATCCATGCCCTTCATGATATTACAGACCTCTATCATATCCCCTTACAGCTTTCTCCTTTCCAAACTTGCCTTTTTGGTCTATCTGGTATGACAGCTGGTCTGTGCCCCTGATCATACTGCATTTTCCCACATACCATATGTGCATTTTTTCCAAAAATCAGCTGCTGGAAACTGGAGTTTGTGTTAAGGAAATACAGCCGAGCCTGGGTACATCCTTAAACTGCTGCCTTGGCAGAGGCTCCTGCTGAGTCAGTAGCAACTTCTGCAGCAGGAGCTTCCGACAGGGGAAAGGGAAAGTAGCTCTGCACATGCTGGACAGGGGGCAGCATAGTGAGCATATAGGGCTTCCAGCTGCTGGCTGTGGACAGTAGGAGCCCTGCTAGCTCATTGCATTACCCCTCTGCAGCATGCACAGGGCTACTATCCCCTTCCCCTGTCAGAAGCTCTTGTTGCAGAAGCTACTACTGACTCAGCAAAAGCCACTGCCCCTGCAGCAGTTTCAGGATGTTGAGCATTTGGCTCTGCTGTATGTCCTTGCTTGCCAGCAATGTAAACAGATCACTGCAGTAGGGGAGAGCAGCAACCTGTGGCTGCTTCATTAACCCCTGCAAACTGCTACCTTACTGGGACAGTTCTTCCCTTAGCAGCAGTGTCTGGCCCAGCAACAGCTTGCATCTGGGATTGGAGTGAGGGTTGTTGGTAAAGTCCTGATTTCAATCTTGACATAGGAATACACATCACATGGAAGGGATTTGGTTATAATTGATATTGTTGCTAGGGAGAGCTGAGGGCTTAGCACTTACTGAAAATCAAACTACAGGCTCATTTTATAATTTAGGATTTTCATAGTTAAATTTCAGAAGTCCAGTTTGAAAACATTGACCTTTATTTCAAATTGTCTCGATCACACAGATTCTTAGGCCTAGTTCAGGTTTTCCTTGTCACTGTTCACTTTGCTTTGGCTTATTCCACTTTTGTTTTAACATAACTGTTTGTCATTAATACCATAACCGTCCCAAAATTTTACTATAGTACATTCCTGCCTATTTTCTTTTTAACACTTATTTAGACAAAGCTTTTTTTTTAAGAACAGTGACTTAGTTGATGAATACTTCCCTCACAACTAATACACTCATAAGGATTGCAAGGGAATGTCAGTTGTCAAATAAACCAATATAATTTTAATACCCAATATTTGTAAATAATTCAAGCCCTTCACATTCCATGTATGTTTTATAATTTGTGAATGGGTTTACAACTTGCAAGTGACTTGTATTCAAATATGTGACAGTACTAAATAAGTTTGAAGGGAGTTATTTATCTCTTGAAGTTCTCTTAAGTTACTTTGGGTTCTCCTTTCCATTTTGATTATTAGTAAATAATAAATAATTAGTAAATATTAAATCTGAATATTTAACTGACACTGTGGTAAAACTTCTTTTATATAAACAGATGTCCTAATGAATAGTTTAATTATTCTGTTAGAAATAATAAGGCTGGATAAACCCTGCTCTGTGTAAGTTCTGCAATGAGATAAGTCCCCTTTTTTTCCAACTCTGATCTGGCCACAATCATCCTTGCCTTCATAACCTCAAAGCTAGACTATTGCACTGTGCTCTACATAGGGCTGCCCTTGTAACACAATAACTTACCTTCTGATGGGGGTAGGTTGCCAGGAGCACATAACTTCAGGGCATTTTTACGTGTGCTAGGGAAGGGGAGGGGGGCGTTTTAAGTAGAGCGGCTTCATGTACCAGCATGCCCGTGCTTCAAAATGGTGATGGAGGTGCTTTAACTAAAGCTCATCAAGCAAGCTCACCACCATTTTGAAGCATGGGGATCCTGACACACAAAATGCAGAGGCTGCTGGAGGCGTGCTAATTAGCATGCTCCAGCAGACCTCATTAATTGAGTCTGCTCCAATGCACTGTAAGTAATTACAGCACATCGAAGCAGCCTCCCCACACGTTTATAGGCACCCCCTGTGCTTCAGAGTCTGCACTGGCTCCCAGTAGCTTTCTGGGTGCAGTTCAAGGTTCTGGTACCTAAGTGACCGCCTTCTCTCTTATGCCCCGTTTTGATTCTTAAGGTAAACCATGAGCAACCTCCTACAAGGACCATGTATTCCAGGTCCACTTGGCAAAAGCACATGGGAGATTGTTCTCTCTAGTTGTTTCTCAGCTCTGGAACTCTTCATTTTGAGACTTGGTAGCACCCAACCTTGAACATCTTTTGGAAATACTGTAAAACCTTGATATTTGGGCAGGCGTTTAGGTTGAGATGTGTATGGGGTCTCTTTTATCTTGATGTTCTAGTTACCTCATAAACTGTTTTGGTTCAGATGTCACTCTCTTGTTTTTAACCTATTCTGTTTTCTTAGTGTAAGTCACCCTGAGTCTTTTTTGGGAAGGGTGGCAAATGAATGAATGAGGCCTAGCTATGGGTAAGGATGTGGATTGATAGGTACTGCTGGCTGCTGTTGCTTTAGACACCTGTTGTTTCAGGATCTATATCATGTGAGTTCCAACACATGCTCTTAGACACTCAGACATTTTTCTTTTAAAGAAGCAGCGTGTAGCTAAGGGTATATGTGTCACAATAAACTCTCTAATGGCAAATGCCAGTCTTTTTACAACAGGGAATGAGTTCCATGGCTCTATTTGGTTCTGTATTTTATTGTCATAATAGCTTTATAGTTGGCTTAGCAAATTTAAGATTTTTTCTACCATTTGAAAGACCCCTACTAATCTTAAGCTTTGCATAGCTTTCAGTTGCAGGCAAGATGTTCTGGATAGTGAGGACTGCTGGCTTTGGGTTTGCTCATGGGCAACTGGTGCCTCCTGAGTCTGGAGGGGCACCAGATCGCTGACAGGGGTCCCCCAGCGGCTGATTGCCAAGTCCAGAACCACCAGAGGTGAAAACAGAAGTGTACTTCCGCCGGTACTTCTGGTTTCGTGGCTGGCACTTTCAGGGGGTGCACGACCAATCTCATAGGGTGCACATACACCTGCGTTCACCCCCTACGTGTCACCAATGGGTTTGCTGATTATTTTTATAATTTTTAAAATTGAGGCAGTCAGGCTGCAGAAGCCCACAAGCAAGGCCTAAAACCTGTGTGCAATTTTTAATAGTTTTGCTCACTTATAGCAGTAATTCTTATATATTTATCTGAGTTAAGAAATCTTCTGAACATGCTCAGCACAATTGTTTTGTGTTCTGTGCTTCCCACTCTTTACAGTTGCAGTCTTTTTCCTTGCAATATGACAAACAAGATACACTTGTGAAGAATCAATTAGAAGATATTGTTACTCAACAAGGAATGTTATATCTATTTTGCTGTTACAACTTTTGGTGATGTAGGAGCAGAAATTACTGTAACAATAACAATGGATGTTGCCTTCCTTTTACAGCTCTGGTGTTGGTTAATCCAGAGCTACAATGTCCAGCTACATCCTTATCTCTTCCAAACCAAAAATGTGATCCAGTAATAATACCCGTTGTAGTCAAGGAGGCAAATGTGCCTACAATCAGCTTCAAAATGTTCATCAAATAAGTAGGTTTTGGGTAGTTTCATTTTTCCTTCATAACCAGTACAGGCAAGTGGGACATTTAATCTTTCTCTGCCACCTTGTTATATGGCAGTGTAATTCACTCTTTCTATAGCACTTGCTGCTTCAAAACCTGTTTGTTCTTTTGCATTGTTTCAGTCTAGAAGTGTTGTTGTCTTTGCCACAGTGACATTTTGAAATGGAAAAACCCTATAATTTAAAAAATAATAATGATCAGGATTTCTTTAACTCTAGGAAAATGTGAAATACATTATAAGAGGCAGACAAGGTTCCTTGGGTGAATCTGATATCTTTTATCAGACCAACCCAAATAGTTGGAGAATAGTTATTAAGCAAGCTTTCGGGTTCAACAACCCTTCGTCAGGCTGAGGAAGTTTCAGCAGTTGGTGCGTGCTCTTCCTGGATGGAATGAAAAGTAAAGAAGCCAGCAGCTGGGCTGGTATCCTTAGACCAACACGGCTACAACCTACACCCCTAAATACATTATAAAGCAGTTACACAATTGGGGTCAGAGTAATCTTATGTCCCGTTTCCCAGATCACGCAACCTTCCATGCCAGACATATATGGCAGGTTGAGCAATTGTGAGAATAGGGCAAAAAATTCCTCAGACCCCAATTGGAAGGCTGCCACCATGGAGGTGGGGGCACCTGCAGCTGGGGAACAGGAAGCTTCCTACTCCCCAGCTACATCCCCCATACACATGGAAGCAGTGGCTGGGAAGTTGAGAGCTCCCCAT